ACCCGAACAAAGCTGAATTTTATATAAAATTCAGCTTTGTTCGGGTATTTTCCCATGTCATTGTAGTTGTGCTTTTAAAGTTGTAGCAACATTTCGGCAGAATCTCATCTGCCATCATCAGGCTTCTGTATATATATATATATACAAATATGATAACATCAATCATATTATAACATATACCGGTATTATCTCCCATTATAGTTATCAATTATATAACTGTCAGAAATATTTACACATCTGTTTTTCTTTCTCCTATAAACCATATTTCACCTAATTTCACTCCTCTTAACCTCAATAACTGTCATTTAACCATTTATAGAATAGTTCCCATGTTATGAAATAGTCCGAATCTTCTTTTCCTTTAATTTTTAGGGTTATCCTATGGGGAGAAATAGGGTGAGACCCTGACTTCTTCCTGACAGGAATTTTTTGATTGATATACAAAGGTTGAGAGAGTCAAGGAAGCTGAAGATTTGCCCTCAAAAGTCAGGTTTTAAAATCAGGCAACCCAGAAATAGGCATTTGATACAGTCCCTTGAGACTGTACCATCTGGTGTGCTCTGAGGGGAATTACACATTTCAGTGTCTTTCCACTAATTAGCAGGCCACGCATTGAAAACTTAAGATGTCAACAAGGGCAATTCCAAGAGTCCTTTATTTCTACACTTCAAATTTCCAAGCTTGTGGGGAGCAGGGAGTTTCTTTTGAGAAGTGGTAGAAACCACAGGCAGACAGTTTTAATTTTCCCTGTGTTTCTCCTGGGAGGCTTTAATTACGAAAACAATTTTTAAAAAATCTACTTATTTCCTACTTTACTACTTATTACAAAACCTATGACCTATGACCAATTGCTTAGTTAATGTAATCAATTGATGTAATTAATTAGGGAATACTTCACGGGTAGGCTTCAAAATTTTTAGCAAAGGGTTCTTGCCTAGTTGCTGGGTGGGCGTGGCCATGGTGGGCGTGGCCTAGTCGGCCTCCTGCACCATGGCAGGCGGGGGGGCATTATTGCCCTCCACTGACTCCAGAGGCTTTCTTCGAGCCTCCAGGAGGGTGAAAACAGCCTCCTTGGGCTCTGCAGGCTCTCTGGAAGCCAAAAACAGACCCATTTCCAGCCTTCCCAAACTTTTGGGAGGCCCGTTTGTGCCCTGAACTTGCCTACATCCAAAACGGGCCATTTGGGGACTCCTGGAGGGGGAAGATAGTGTGGGTGGGGCAGGACCAGCCAGGAGTGGGATTTGGGGGTTCTCTGAACTGCACAGAATCTTAGCTAGGGGCCTCCCTAACCCCTGTGAACCCCCAGCAGCCCACCCCTGAATAGCTTGCCTCTGGAGTTGTGGGTCTTCCATCACTGTAGGTTTTCAAAAATAGACCAGGTAATCAATTGATTAGGATCGTACAATGGTCTCCTGCTTTGAACGGTGGGTTGGACTAGAACAGGGGTTGCCAACCTTTTGGACCTCAGGGACTACCAAACTCATAATTTTAAATCCCAGGGTTCTGTGGGCATGGCCTAATTTGTGGGTGTGGCTTGGTGGTCATGTGACTGGCTGGGCATGGCTTGTATGTAAATATTATAAATATTTATATAAATATTGAGTGTTTTATAAAAAAAGAGCAACCTTTACCCCAAATCAGGCAAAGCAGGCAGGCAGATTGAGTTGCTCACAGAATCACTGATTCATTCAGATACCTATCTGCCATCGGCTAGCTCAGTCTGTCACATAAAATTTGCTAGCAAGCAAACTCACAAAATTAACTCACAACACACCATATATGTAAATACTGTGTTTCTCATATAATAAGCCAGGTTGTTTTTTTTTTTTTTGAGCCCTGAAAAAATGGCTAGGCTGTCTTTTCAGGGGTGACTTAATTTCCACCCCCACTTGCATCTTCGGGCGGGTGGGCGGTGACGGCTTGGATGTTGACCTCGGCATTAGTGGGGCAGTTCGTATCGGGGTCAACGCAGGTAGCACCATATCGGGTGTGCAACAAAAGTACTTCCTAACGGCAAGCCCCCCCCCCCCACCATTCCCCCCATTTTGCATGTTTTAATATAAGCCTTAATTTGGGGGGAGGGGCTTAATTTCATTTCATGCCTATAAAACATGCTGGGACTTCCTATTGGGGGAGGCCATATTGTTGGAGAAACAGGGTATTGATTTTTTTTTATAAAATAGAGAACAACTTTTACCCAAATCAGGCAAAGCAGGCAGGCAGATTGAGTTGCTCACAGAATCATTCAGTGATCTATCTATGTGCTGTCGGCTAGCTCAGTCTGTCACATAAAATTTGCTTGCTGTGAATCTGCACTGAATAATAGAACTTTCAGTCCTAAGGGAGGTTCAGCTGTACTTAAAAGCAGAGTTGAAGATCTAAAGATTAGCTAGAAAGCAAGAAATCCAACTATTTCCTGCCTCCTAGCTAATCTAAATCTCCCGGCACAGCAGAACAGCTGATGGTCAGAAAAATAGCAATTTAGCAGGCAAGTTTGCCGGGTAAGGAGTGAGTGGGCGGGGAGGGTTCCTGCCGGCCAAGTGGGTGGCGCAGCCTTGTGTTTTGGCACAGCCTGGATTAATTGCTTTGGGGGAGTGCTCTGGGGGTGAGATTTCTCTGCAGCCCAACAAAATTTTCTCATGGCCCACCAGTTGGCAACCGCTGGACTAGAAGACCTCTAAGGTATCTTCCAGCCATATGATTCTCTGCACAATTGAGCCCAACATTTCCGTTCCTAAATGAGACAGTGGCTTAAGTGAGCTTTGTCCTATTTTACGACCTTTCTTGCCGCAGGCATTAAGTGAATCAGTACAGCTGCTTAGTAGCATGATTGTTAAATGAATCTGGCTCCCCTCTCCCATTGGCTTTACTTGCCAGAAGGCCGCAAAAGGTGATTATGCATGACCCTGGGACACTGCAACCATCATAAATACAAGTCAGTATTAATGAATATTTAATTAATGAATTAAAATTAATGAATTTTAATTATTTATGTCCATGGGGATGCTGCAACAGCCATAAATGTGAAAAACGGTCCCGAGTCTCTTTTTTTCAGTGCCACTATTGCAATTTCGGTCACTAAATGAACAGCTGTTAATTCAAGGACTATCTAGTGCTATATTGTGTATTATCCAATGCCTATGTCTACACTTATTGGCATATCTTACTCCTAAGCAGTCTGCTCTTCTTTGTTGCTTGGGCTTACAACCAGACTTTAGCCAACATTTAGCAACCTTCAAGTTGGTTTCTGTTGCTATCTGGTGAAGTTCTCAAATGCTGGTTTCTCATTTTGTGCTGGGGTTGGAGAAGGAAGCTCCTCGGGATTTCTGCTGGAAAGTGAATCTGCTGGGATCTCCTTCCCCATTCAGCTTGTCTGTGCTGGTTTGGTGAAGTCCAAGCTTGCTCCTCCTTGACCATTTAGTTATTTATTTATTACTATTCTTCTTCTCATCCTTCCTGTTACCTATCTCTTCCCACTTATGACTATAACCGTGTTGCTTGTATCTTTACAATTTATGTTTTATTTGTTTTCCTAGTATGTTTTGATTGCTTATAGCAATCTGTGACTATTGCTAAGTGTTGTATCTTATGATTCTTGATGAATGTATTTTATTTTTTCTTATGCACACTGAGCATATGCACCAAAGACAAATTCCTTGTGTGTCCAATCACACTTGGCCAGTAAAGAATTCTATTCTGTTCTATTCCGTTCCATTCCTTATGCTCTTCTCTTCTCTTCTCCTCTCCTCTCCTCCCCTCCCCTCCCCTCCCCTCTCCTCTTTCTTCTGCTGAGCTTGACTGCTGCTTCACTCTCTTTCATGTACATTTCTCCTTTCCGCTTTCCCACCTAATGCAGAATTTTCTCCAAACACACCTACTCAGCCATGCTCAGGGACTCTCAACATTTTCCTCTTAGGCTTTGAAAACAAGTATGGGAAAGATGCTCTTCAGGCTGCAGTCCTGAAGTTCTAGGATTGAAACAGAGGGAAGAAAAAAACTCAAGATCAGCATTGGAAAGCTTTACTTCCTCACAGTTTTAGTAGAATTATTTCTAGAGGATGTTATTCAAATATGGAGCTTCTGCTGTTGAGGACCCCTCTGAAATGATGCAATGGAAGAAGAGCTGGTTTATTTATTATTAACTATATTGCCATAAGGGACGTGATGGCTCAATGGCAGTTTGCGGTTTGAATCCCTAGCACCACGTAATGGAATGAGCTCTGGTTACTTGTCCCAGCTTCTGCTAACCTAGCAGTTCGAAAGCATGTAAAAATTCAAATAGAAAAATAGGGACCACTTTGGTGGGAAGGTAACAGCGTTCCATGCACCTTCGGCATTTAGTCATGCCAGCCACATGACCACGGAGACGTCTTCGGACAGTGCTGGCTCTTCGGCTTTGTAATGGAGATGAGCACCGCCCCCAGAGCTGGAAACGACTGGCACGTATGTACAAGGGGAACCTTTGCCTTTATATTGCCATAATTTTTCCACAGCAATTATTGGGAAAATTAATTCCTTCCTTCCTTCCTTCCTTCCTTCCTTCCTTCCTTCCTTCCTTCCTCCCTCCCTCCCTCCCTCCCTCCCCCCTCTCTTCCTCTGTTTCTCTCTTCCCTCCTTCCTCTTCAAATAATAAGTAAATGAAAAGAAGGACTAGGGGAGACATGATAGCAGTCTTCCAATATCTCAGGGGCTCCCACAAAGAAGAGGGAGTCAAACTATTCTCCAAAGTACCTGAAGACAGAACAAGAAGCAACGGATGGAAACTAATCAAGGAGAGAAGCAACCGAGAACTAAGGAGGAATTTCCTGACAGTTAGAACAATTAATCAGTGGAACAACCTTCCTTCAGAAGTTGTGGATGTTCCAACACTGGAAGTTTTAAAGAAGAGATTGGACAGCCATTTGTCTGAAGTGGTATAGGGTTTCCTGCCTAGGCAGGAGGTTGGACTAGAAGACCTCCAAGGTCCCTTCCAACTATGCTATTCTGTTAATCTCGGTTTCTTTGCCTGTATATCTTGCCTACAGATAGGAAATGTTCTCCACCTTATATCAGCTTTGCTTGAGCGCCCAGAGGGCTCTCAGAAGCTACAGGAGACTATTTGGAGATCCAAACTATTGTTGGATGTCCCCAACAGCCACATTTTAGCCTGGAAAATTTGCCATTAAGTGGTGTGGTTGTTAAGCGAGGCTGCATTCAATTTTATGACCATTTTGTTTTTTGCTGTGGTCCTTCAGTGAACCACAATCCCCATCACCTGACTCAAGCAGTGCTGGGATGGCTAGAACACGCAGGACAGGTTGTGAGTGCCACACCTTTAGCACTGCCATAACTTTGAACGGTCCCTGAATGAGTTGTGGTTAACCTGTATTCAGTCCATCTTCATTCAACAGCCAGCCATTCTTGATTTTCTTGTTTCCATCCCTCACGCTTAAGTAGCTCCTTCTTACCTCAGCCAAACTTGTATGTTTCTGCTGAAACGGCCGCCATTTCCTTCCCAGCCCTGAGGGAAGTGATTTTTCAGTGGTTTGTCAGTGCTAAGGATAGGGAATGGGAGCAGTTATTCAATTTCAAGGAGAAAAACAAGAGCCAAACCAACTCCAAATGTTACAGTTGGTCCTCGACTTACAACAGTCCACTTAGTGACTGATCAAAGTTACAATGGCACTGAAAAAAAAATGACATGACAATTTTTCAATTTTCCATTGCACCTTCCCCCTGGTCAAGGGATCCAAATTCAGACACTTGACAACTGATTCATATTTATGACAGTTGCAGTGTCCTGGGGTCACACGATCCCCTTTGCGACCTTCTGACAAACCAAGTCAATGGGGGAAGCCAGATTCACTTGACTGTCTTACTAACTTAACAACTGCAGTGATTCACTTAGAAACTGTGGCAAGGCCAAAAAATGGGGCAGAATCCCAACTTAAAAACTGTCTTGCTTAGCAACGGAGGTTTGGGGCTCAATTGTCGTAAGTCGAGGACTACCTGCACAGCACTTTTGGGGATGGGAAAACCCCATAACTACTCTCAAGGCCCCTCTTAATTTGGAATGTAAAGCAGACAAATTGCTGTAAAATTCAGTGACTGGATTTTAGGGCCTAATCTTGGGGCGCTGAGGAGTCTGCAAAAATTGGCTTACCCCTGAATGTGTATTGAATGTTCTTGTTGCTCCTAAAATGGCTGCTTTCAAGAGGTTACTGAAAGCTAACATTTTCAGAATAAGCTGGAAGGAACTTTGGAGGTCTTCTAGTTCAGCCCCCTGCTCAAGCAGGAGAACCTATATCTATACATTTAACCTTGGCTATTCAAGATCATAAGGAGACCAGAATGCAGTGTTTCTCAACAGTGCGAGGCTGACACCTCAGCTGAATCCTTTGTGGGGTGGGCATGGGGTGTGTGGAAAGTCCATGATTTATTCTTAACTCTCGTTGGATTTGCAAATTGCAAGAAGTCCAAACTGGTTTACTCATTTGTGGTTTAGTGTGTCAACTGGATTGTAAACTATCATTTGGGGGCATGGCACAATCAGTGGATCTGAACCATTTGAGTTTGACAAACAGACTGTGGCATTGCAGAATGTATGAACCTCTTCTCTGGTTTTATGTTGTGCAGCTTGTTGCAGTACACCTTTGTGGGGAACATATTTATGGTGCCGGATGACCCCTTAGGACGAAGTGGTCCTACCTTAGCAGATTTCCTGAAGAAGAAAACAAGGTTAGTATTTCTGATGCACTTCTAACAAATACATCCCTTGAGCTACTCTGGCTAGGTTAGATTTATATTTGAAAACCAACATCTTGTAGATAGCAATAGGACTTATATACTGCTTCACAGTGCTTTACAGCTCCTCTCCAAGCAGTGTACAGAGTTAGCATGTTGCCCCCAACAATCTGGGTCTTCATCTTACCCACCTTGGGAGGATGGAAGGCTGAGTCAACCTTGAGCAGGTCACGATCAAAATTCTGGCAGTCAGCAGAATTAGCCTGCAATACTGTGTTTTAACTACTGCGCCACCATGGCTCCCCAAGATTAACTCTTGCGGGTTTTATGGGAGTGCATGTTTCTTTCAAACTATAATTCAAAGTAAATTTTAATCCATTAGTCCATACATTCTCCCAGTTATCTAGCGTTGTATTATACCCAAAAAATTTTGCCCATTTTACCATACAGTCTTTTTTACATATTCATCTTCCAGGCTCATCTTGAGTAATATTTTATATACTTCAGCAATCATTACGCCAGCAATCAAGGAGTCACCTCCAGAACCTAAATTGATATTGAATTCAGATTTAACTCCTGATTTTTTTAAAAATCAATTTTACATCTTTCAAAAATTCTTCATGTTTCTTGACCACAATGCACAAATAGTTTTGTCCAAGTCTAGTTTCTTGATGGTCATCCACACAAGAGTTAAGTCTGCCACTTGCTGAGACTAAAGCTAAAATTTCCTTGGGATTGACTCCTTGGTAACTTCATGGTGAGGTTGTTATGGTTTCTTTGACAACCACAAGGAAGTGGTTTGTTCATGATAAATTTCAACTTCCTGATCTAGCTTGCAACTTTGGGGTGGCCGGTGAAGTGGCCTTCAGTCAGCTATGAGTCAGCAATCCCTTTGAAACAGGACATCCCTTTATAATCTAAGCATTAACCAAGCTGAGCCCTGCATAGCTGCTGAAAGTCATAGGCTGCTCTTGGTTGCTACCACAATGGGTGTTTCTTAACTCTAAAGACTACGGCCTGGTGGTGAGAAATAGATCCGTAATGGCAGGGTGGCAAAACATGGCAGGGGAGAGAAGGACTGCCAGGCATTTCCCAATTGCCACCTTTCCCCTTTTTCTAATTCTACTAAAATTACAGTTCCTAGAATTCTTGGTTGCAATCAAATTGAAGGACTTGTGGCTTTGGGGCGCTGCTGTGATGAATAGTGGCACAGCTCCATCTTGTGGCCAGACGTGGGAAGAGCCTGGCTTTTTAGCTACCACAACCAATAATCTCTTGTTGTCAATCTTTCGAATCTCACTTTCCAATTATTGCTCAGTCCAAAGCCCCAGGTTCCATTACAGAGGAAAGAAAAGATCTGCTCTTCTGGCATTCCATTGCTCTATTTATTATATCTGAAAAATGTTTAATTTGAGGGTAAGGTTTATGAAAACGTTCTCCTTGGTTGCTGCAAAGAGACTGAAAACCTAGGCTGGGCTCAGTCCTGGGAACTGCTTTGCTGAGAACTACTGTGTTTCCCCCAAAATAAGACCCTGTCTTATATTTTTTTGCCACAAAAAAAGGCACAAAGTCTTATTTTCAGGGGATGTAATCCACTGATTAACCTCACTTGCATGCATCGCCCCCGGCCTCCTTTTCGCTGTCAGAGGCCTTCAGAAACTACTTCTTCTGCAGCTGGCAAAGCTTTCCTGAAGGCCACTGCAGCTAATAACAGAGCTCTGAATAGATCTGGAGCTTTGTTATCAGCTACAGAGACCTTCAGGAAAGCCTTGCCAGCCTTGCTGGCTGAAGAAGAAATGGTCTGGCAAGGCAGGTGTTGGGGTGTGTGAGGCCTGGCTACAACTATCCTTACCTTTGAAGTAGTAGGACAGCTCCACTCCCCCATCCCTACCCTAGCTTAATTTTTACCCATGCACTCTGGAGCGGGAGGGATATTAATTAGGGCTTATTTTGGGGTTAGGGCTTATATTGGGCACACGTGTAAAAATTAAGCTAGGACTTACTTTCAGGGTAGGTCAAATTTTCGGGGAAAACAGTAGCAGCTCCAGAAAAGTCAGCAGCTTGAAGGACGAGCTGCTCCTCCTGATAGTTGTGGCTCAGGGAGGTGAAGGATCAGGACAGGAAGCACATCTGGAGGGAACACATGCTTTTGACCCAGGTGAGTTCAACCTTCAACCTTTTGGCCATTGACAGCTGGGCAGAAGCATGGAGCCAGTGGTCAGAATAGCAATAGTCTTGTTGGGAGCATCAGAGATGGCCAAGTCCAGATCCACATTCAGCTAAGGGTTAGCTAAGATGAGAGTGTCAAACTATCCTCCAAAGCACCAGTAGGCAAGGTAAGAATGGTTTGAAATAACCAAGAAGAGAAGCAACTTAGAACTAGGGAGAAATTTCCTAATGATGAAAGCAATCAACCAATGCAATAACATGCCATCAGAATTTATGGGCGCTTCATCACTGAAGGCTTTCCAAAAAGAGACTGGATATCCCTTTGTCTGAAATGATTTTGGGTCTTTTGCTTGAGCAGGGGGTTGGACTAGAAGACTTCAGATGTCCCTTCCAATTCTCTTATCTAGTTCTCCATGTGGACAGTTAGAACTTTCAACTACTATCTTGTGAGCGACTTCTCAGTTATGGAGAAGTCCTGGACCCAGGACTGACTGTGGGCCAGTTTATTCAGTTACTGCTTAGTTAACTTTCTAATACCAGTGCATTTACTTGTCCTTCATAAGCAGGGATTTCAAGATCCCTTTCCCCTTTGCTATTTGAAGTATTTCAAACTCCTTCTGCTGATTTGTTTTACAATCATTAACAGAAGGATAGAATCAGGAATAAGTGAGTCACTAATACCAATATATAAAGCCCTTGTAAGACCACACCTCGAATAGTACATCCAGTTTTGGTCACCACACTATAAAAAAAAGATGTTGAGACTCTAGAAAAAGTGCAGAGAAGAGCAACCAGGATGAAGAGGGCACTTGGAGGCTAAAACATACAATGTAGCAGAAACTGGGAGTGGCTAGTCTCGTGAAGAGTAGGACCAGGGGAGACATTTGAGGGGCTACCACAGAGAGGGGGGGGGGGGTCAAGCCATTTTCCAAAACACCCGAAGGGCAGACAAGGAATAATGGATGGAAACTGATCGAGGAGAGATTCAACCTAGAAATAAGGAAAATTTTTATTACAGTGGGAACAATCAATCAATGTAACAGCTTGCCTTCAGAAGTTCTGGGGGCTTCATCACTGGAAGTTTTCATGAAGAGACTGGACTGCCATTTGTAAGAAATGGTGTAGTCTCCTGCTTGGGTGGAGGGTTGGACTAGATAACCTACAAGGTCCCTTTCAACTCTGTTAATCTATTAATTTGGAAAGCAATCTTCAATTCTGCTTAGATTACCGAGATTTTCCCAGTGGTGCATAACTCCAATGGTTTATCTTATTCTGTGCAATTTTTTTAAAAAATTATTTTGTTAAATTTATTTGCCACTCATCTCGGTATAGGACTACTCTAGGCAGCTTACGACAGTAAAGAGGAAGAAAAATGAAAAGCTGGCTAAACAGAAGTAAAAGAGTAGAAACAATAAACAATGACAAAGGAACACAATGGGAATAAAATACATCAATATGATAACCAAAATGATGGATGGGTGGAGGGCAGATAGCGAGTCGGGGAAGGGAGGTGGAGTCTGCCATCAATCTAACAGCCACCAATTAAAATAATTGGTTTGAAAATAAGCTGATTGATACTTCACATGGAGAAACACTGATGAAAACAAAGAAAAATCCACCCATTCCCTTTCTTGCAAAACTCGGGGTGGGATTTGAATTTTTCTGCTTTTTCCTCCCCACACTGCAGAACCAAGTATCCTGATTGTCACTCTTTCAGTGGCCAGCCCTCCACTAACTTCACGCCACCACTTCCCACCTCGCAGACGGAGGTCCTTCACCTCAGGGACAGGAGGCCCCCTGCCGGTTCAGGAGGGGACAACAGGAGAGGTCGGCAGGGCAGCCCTGAGGAGAAGGAGAAGCTTCGCTCCACAGAAGAGACGGAGTGGCTGAGGAGCAAGCTTCTGGAGATTTTTGAGGGACAAAACAGAAAAGTGGACTTCGTGCTCATCCGGGAACCGTGCTGCCGAGACTTGAACAAGCTTTCAGAGATTATTCTCAGTTTTACTTTCTGAGCTAGTGGATCCCTCCAAATGAGGTGATCTAAACAGTTGCCTTCAGATATTAAACTTCAAGTGATTTGTGGCCATTGACAATGGAGGAAAATGCTTCAGGAATGAAGGCGAAGACTGGACCTTGCAAAATGCCTCGGTCCTGAAGCCCACACTTCTTGTATTTTTCCCATTTCCTTAATATCTTTGGGTGAGATTGTCTTCTCTTCTAATAATCGGAGCTCTCTCCATTCCAGAAATGTGAAGTTGCTTGCAGGAAGGTAACTCCCTACATGCAATATGGCTAACCTAAGCTATGAGAGAGCCAAAGACTTTTGAAATGGAATTACTCCGAATAAATAGGTCCTTTGCCATGAGAGATTCCCGTAGGATTTCTCACTCTTAAAACTTCAATTCCCAACATCCATCTTGGCTCTGTTTTGACCAATCAGAGATTTCTGAGGTAAAAGTCATGACATTTGTAGGCTTTCACTTTAAAAGGGTAGAGAGGAGGGATCCTTGGTACTGTCCAAGCTTGGTTGTTTTCCTGCAGATGTTTCACTACCCAAACTAGGTAGCACCATCATTGGATGCTAGCACCGATGATGTTACCTAGTTGGGTAGTGAAATGTCTGCAAGAAAACAACCAAGCTCAGAGAGCACTAAGAACTCTTTATTTCAACCTGAAGCTACAGCTATTGTCCTTTATTGGTAGAGATGCTTAGACAAAACCTCCATTTTAGGCTTAGCAATTGTGTAATCTCAGCATGTTCCAGTTTGATTGGAGTCCAGTTTAATATTAAGACGCATTGCAGATTAGGTGTCTGGCTTGATAAAAAGTTGCTTTATACTTCTACAATAGTTTTCCTCAAGGTGGCAACCTCCAAATGTATTCAGTGTCTTGAGGCACAGTTATTGATCGTGCTATTCAAAAAATGATGGGAATTGTTTCAAACATCTAGGTCAACTGGTTGGAAGAAAATCTAAGCCTCCGATACCAATTGTATAAATCCTATTTTATACCTTTGGAGTATGGTGCCAAAATGATTATTATGCAGATTTTTAAATTTCCCTTATGCAATTCAAGTATGTTTAGGGCGCTCAATTCTTATAGTTTCACATAAATAATAGGTAATTTTTATTTTATATACACACACACATTTTTGTTAGGACGGAGAAAAAAAAATTGGACTGTTCCCCCAGCTGTTTTTTTTTAAAAGCTAAAAATAAATCTTGTTTTCTGAAAACAGTATTGTGTGCTTATAAAGCCCTCAATGTATCTTAAAATTGGTACAGCTGTTGTTGTTAGTGGGTGCCAAGCTGGGAAAGCCAAAGTTATGTAATGTGGGTAGTCCTTGACTTATGACCACAATGGAGCCCCAAATTTGTGTTGCTAAGTCACATATATGTTAAGAGTGAATTTCTGCCCCATTTTACAACCTTTCTTGCCACAATAGTTAAGGAGATCACTGCAGTTGATTAAGTTAGTAACATGGTTGTTAAGTGAATCAGGCTTTCCCATTGACGTTGCTTGTCAAGAAATTGAAAAGGCAATAAATAAATAATAAATATGAACCAGTTGCCAGGCATCTGGATTTTGATCACAGGAGCTGCAAATGTTGTAACTATGAAAAACAGTCATAAGTCACATTTTTCAGGGCCACTGTAACTTCAAATGGTCACTAAATGTGTAAGTTGTAAGTCGAGGACTACCTGTAGTAGAGAAATATGGAAGAGAGTTATTTTGCCGACTAGCATTAGTTTCCATATTCTTCTGTTTTCTAACTCTGGTGTTTTGATGACAACTGCTTGGGGGGGAAAAGTCACAGCACACTTAGTTATCTTTTTTTCCCCTTCTTCTTCTTAATATCATATTGTGTGAAGGACGCCCAAATAGGTTCTTCTTGAGTTTGTCAAATTGGAAATTTGTGGAAAAATCAACAAAACCCTTCATGACCACCCAAACATTTTTCATGTCCACAAGTCATACGCATGCTGGTAACAGGATTCTGGGCTTTTTAGATTCTATGAACAAGGAAAGGGGTGTCAGTGCTTCCGCCGGTGAAAATGAAGCTCAGGAGGGCTCCAAATTTCCATTGCTAAGTGAGTTTTGCCCCATTTTACAACCTTCTTACCAGAGTCGTTCAGTGAATCACTGCAGTTGTTAAAGCCACGCCACGCCCATAGAATCTGTAGTAAAAAATATTCAATTCCCACCACTGGTTGTACCTGTAATTTGCAACTGAAAGATACAAGAAGAGGAAGTACATACATGTATATATTTATTTACTTCTTAGCCCTGTTAAAAGCTTCTGTCTTGAAGTATGACTTCAAATTTCAGCCCGTGGCAAAGGTATGTTTGTAGGAGCTGAAGGGTTGCGGGTGATCTTCAGGGACCGGCAATACAAGATGGGCGTCTTGCCCAAACCCAGGCAGTAATGCCACCAATAAAGCTTTTGCCTGGGCTGCAGGATCACCCGAAGGGGTTCTTCTTCCTCTGCTGCTTCTTCCCATTCTTCTTGCTCGGTCTGAAGTCCCAGCCCTCCATAGATCTTAGGGAGGGCAAACTGGTGCTGGAGAAGAGACATTGCTAGTGATTCTGGATTCACCGATTTCTCAACGTGAGCTGTTATCCCAAGTTCCAACTTGGAATAGCCAACCTTGCGGGATATTTCATTGCTGCTGGGCATGGGCATGTCTGTTGCGTTAGAGAGGAGCTTGAGGCACTGCCACTGACCGAAGGCAGCGCCATGGGTGATGGACAGTCCACCTGGGAGGAATGAAACCACGTCTGGGTCAATCGCAAAGGACTCCTTCTTGTGTCCTGCAGTGGTGGCAAAACGGGTGCCGCAAAGTTGTTGTTCCTCATCCATCCTGAAGCAAGCGAGATGGGCAGAATCAGCACCATAATAGTATAGCCCATTGAGAAGGGTGGGTTCCAAATGGATCTCTTTAATCAAGACTCCAGTGGCCAGATCAGCCATGCAGAGGACAACCCCTCGTGACAGGAAGAAGATGAAAAAACATCCCTTGCAGAACGCATAGTGGTCTGCTCCACGGCAGCTGGGGTGCAATGGGAAGACGTCCGAGGGAGGCTCGGAGTTCAGATCTGCCACTTGGCAGAACGAGTCCCAGTGCAGGAGATAGATGGCCGAACTGCTGGGGTCTCCCACATAGTGGTCCTTTCCGCGGCAAGCAGGATGGAGGGGCTGAATTTTGAGATCTTGTCCTGAGCAGAAGTCAAGTGTTTGAAGGAAGTAACCCAAATCTGAGCGGACCACGAAAGCGCCGTGGCGAGTGATGAAGACCCCTGAGCCTGGGGAAACCGTCCGGGGAACAATGGAAGCCATGGAAGAGACTGTGAATTAGCAATGGTAGTTTAATGAAAACCTTAATTTAGACATCGTACAATCTTCCTAATACTTTTACACTCTCATTGCAGCCCTCATAACAGGCCCTGCTCAATGAGGCCCATAGGAGCCATGACTGAGTACAATTGGAGTGCAGCCCAATGGATAGACACCAGGAACCATTATTAGTTGACTAAGCCACAACTTTAGCATACACTAAAGCATAAATCGTGATTTGAAAATCACAAGGCGGGTGGACGCAGGAATTCTGAGAGTTGAAGTCCACATGTTTCAAAATTGCCAAGATTGGAAAACACCGTTAGTAGACCTTGTCCTCAATTTGATCAGTAATCCATGAACTATTCAATTATGAGTGTTTTAGTTAGTGTATGAACATTATACTCACATGCAAACACACACACACACACACATTTATGTGTATTTGTGTCTTGTGTGTACATATATGTGTACATACATACATACATATATATATAAAATTCATACACACAAACACGTCTGTGTGGGTATACACATACATATACGTACATACAATCTCTCTATCTCTCTCTCTCTCTCTAATATACAGTATCTAAGTCTGTCAATTTCTATCTGCCTGCCTGCCTGCCTGCCTGCTCATCTAATCTACAGTATCTCTGTCTGTCTCTTTCTTTTCTAAGTGAGGGCTTTTAACCCAAACTACAACTCACAAGAAAGCTGTAGGAATAGCAAATTAATTCTCACGAAGGTTTGTTTATTTTATTTTATTTTTATTTTTTCCTTTCCAAATCAGGGCTGCAGATCGATCTTTCTTTGCCAACTCCAACTTCATGGCTCTCCTCCAATTCCCTTTTCAGGCGGGGAATTAATTATCCCCCCCCCCCTTCTCCCTTAATCCCCTCCTCCCCACACGGAATTTGGACAACGCTTCTTCCTAGGGTCACAAAACCGGGCGCTTCGAGTCTTCCCCAAGCTGGCATAACTTTTGGGGAGGAGTTGAGAAGAGGGTTATCCAATACCGCAGGGGTTGTGTTTATAACTTGGGCCACTTTAAGACTTGCGGACTTCAACTCTCAGAATTCCCCAGCCAGCTGTTGAAGTCCGCAAGTCTTAAAGTGGCCCAAGTTGGACACAACACCCCACTCCCCGCAATACGGGATGCTCGCCCCTTGAACCCAAATGCCCATTATTTTGTTGTGGTTGTTGCTAAATGCAAAAAAACCCAACAACCATCCCGCTAATTCGCTGCAGTTTCCCTGTTCCTGCTCCGGGGAGAAGCCCGAATGCAGGCCCGGAGGGCATGGAGAGGGGGAAGGCTGCGGTTCGAAGAGAAAGTTGCAAGGCGACCCCACCGACCCTTACCTGCTCGACGGTGGCGCCAAGTCGGCGGGGCGGCAGCTAGGACAAGGAGCCACGCAGTGCAAAAGCGGGGCCCTCCGCGGCGGCTTCCGGAGTCAGACGGGTATGCGCACCATCCGCGCTCGGCTCCTCCTTTCCCGGGAGGAGGAGGAAGAAGGGACTGAACGGGAGCACGCGCGGGGTAGTGGGGTGGGGGAGGGAAGCGTGGCCGGTAAGGGTTGCAGTTCTAAAACTCACCAGCGGGATAGAAGGAAGGGAGGGAGGAAGGTGGGAGGGAGAAAAAAGAGAAAGAAAAAAGAAAGTAGTAGATAGGAAGGAAGGAAAAATAAAAAGAAAAAAGTACATAGGAAGGTAGGAAAGTAGGTAGATAGGAAGGAAGGAAAGAAAAAAGATAGAAGGAAAGAAAGAAAAAAGGTAGGAAGGAGAGAAAGAAAAAAAGAAAAAAGATAGGAAGGTAGGTATATAGGAAGGAAGGAAAAAAGAAAAAGTATATAGTAAGGTAGGAAAGTAGATAGGAAGGAAGGAAAGAAAAAAAGAATATAGGAAGGAAGGAAAGAAAGAAAAAAAGATAAAAGGTAGGAAGGAAGGAGAAAGAAAAAAGATAGGAAAGTAGGTATATAGAAAGGAAGGAAGGAAAAAGAAAGAAAAAGTATATAGGAAGGTAGGAAAGTAGGTAGCTAGGAAGGAAGGAAAGAAAAAGAAAGAAGAAGTAAGGAAAGAAATAAAATTAAAGAAAGATAAGAAACTAGGAAAGTAAGTAGTTAGGTAGGTAAGAAGAAGGCAGGCAGGCAGGAAGGGAGAGAGAGAGAGAGAGATGTGGGAGATGATTGTGGCAATTGGCCTCAGTGTGTGGGACCTGCTGTCCCCTAGTTTCAGCTTTTGGCCTGACTGCAGGGGAAGTTTATGGGTGGGAAAAATGTGCCCGGGCTGGGAAACGATCCTGGAAGTCCACTCAGTTTTGAAATTGTTCCAGCTGGAAAACCCAGATCATGTCTATAGTGGTGACATATAGACTCATTTTCAAGTATAATTCGTATATGTACACGAACCCCTTCTACTGCATAGGTAGAAAAGTAATTTTTCTCTTTTCCAATCAGCTCTCAGCAGAGGGAGTGGGAGGATACGACACCACCTATCTCCAGTCTACAACACAGTCCTTTCAACAGCTCCAAGAAGGCCCCATACCCATTTGCACCATGCAGGTGACCCTGATGACACAGATAAACCTCCAGGTGGCCTCAATGACTAGCTAAAAATAATGCAAATGACCAGCTGTCTGCAAGGATTATAAATCTCTCCATTCCCCACCATCCAGTCAGAGCTGAAGAAGCTTCTTGGATGAGAAGGAAAAAGTCTTCAAAGAAAAAAAAAAACAGAAAGTCCAGTTGCCTCTTGAAAAAGCACTTTTAGGACTCTCTTCCAATCCTAGAAAGCAAAAAAGAAAGAAATATACAATATATACTTTTCTATTAATGTAGCTGTAGGGTGCATTGTATTAATAACATCCTGTTCAGATGTATGAGAAGGAAAGGGTGGGGTTTTTTTCTTATTGTAGTAGGTGAGCTTTAATTTAATTTGACCACCTCTCTTGCCAAAGAAGTTGCACTTGTATCTGTACAAAGCAAAAGTAAAAAGAAGCAAGAAATGAGATGCAAGAAATGTATGTTTTATTGTCAGCTGCAGAGAGTCCAGAAGATTTGGCAGAGGAAGGCTGCGCTGGGCTGGACTAGGATAGGCTAGGATAGGATAGGATCCAGTTTCTTACTGTGGAAATGGCTTTTGAGAAAGTCACAATGGAAAGCTGGCATGTTAGCTTGCATTTGACAACATAAGGACCACAAGAATTTCCCAGGATAGATCACAACTGTGAGTAACCCTAAAAAATCTAAATAATATCTCATTCATACTTCTGAGAAAGATGGGATTTGTAGTCCAACTCACCCAGGTTCTTTTAAAGCAGAACAAAAGTAGATTGACAAACTACTAAAGCATCTTGATCCATCTTTTATGTAGCAGTCATTGATAAGTGTACAAATACAAGCAAAATCACGTGCAGGGTTCTTTAAAAATCTAAATGACAATGCAGTAATTGCTATAACACTAAAGTGCTAATCAGTAGGATATCCAAACTTAATCAGTTGAGCTGTCTCTTAACACTTATAGAACCACGAACATGATCTTGGGCACGATCTTCAATAGATCCTTCAATGAACTGTCTGCCCAATTCCATATTTCATTACAATCTCAAAGTGATCACCCTTTGCTTTCCGCAGGAATTAATCTTGTTAAAGAGATAGCCATAGATTCTTAATAGATCAATTCCATATTTTATTACAGTCTCAAAGAGATCACTGTTTTGCTTCTCCCACTGGTTAATCTTGTTGAGGAGGAGGAAGGATTTGTTCATCCTTGGGTTCGAAGCTCTTCATTTTGATCCCAAATTGATCAAAGAGAACAGTTGGAATCTCAGAGTCCTGCAAGACAGTTTCTGTACGATCCTTTCCTTTGGTGAAAATGAGCCGTTGACCTATATAGGTTACACGTCCACCACCTGCTTTGTGCAAGGAACAAAAGGATTTGCAGGTGAAGATAGAACAGGGTGAAGTCTGGTGGTAAAGACACATGTCAGAAAAATCTTCCAGTTGTTTCTCCTCTAAGGTGAATTTATAGAGGAATCTCTCCTTCTCTCCAGCAATTTTCCGACATTCCAATACCCAGGTAGCTTCTTCCAGACTCAACCAAAATATGCCTCCTTCTTGAGCTTGTTCCACCTCTGGCTTTAGCTCTAATGGTTCCACAAAACCTTCTCCAAACCCAACATCGCACAGAAACTGGTGTCCGTCCAAGTCTACCAAAATTATCAAATGGTCCAATGGAGGGCCATAACACTGCGTGAAGCGGTTGCAAACCCGTGCCGCTAAGATTTTGGTGTGAAACCCTAAAGCTTGCAACAACCACTGGAAAAGTCCATTCAGTTCATAACAAAAACCACCCCGGTGGTTTTGGACAATCTTCTCATACAAACAAGGCAATTCCAGGTGGATGGGCTCTTTACAATGGATGCTGAGGCTCTCAAAGGGTACGGAGAAGAGATGGGAACGGTGGAGGCACTTGAGGGTTTCCAAAGAAGGGGAGGTAGAGGCACCTTGGAATCTAATCCGTTGGAGGTAACATCCAACATCCATCTCAGACTGGATGGAAGATCTTGAAAAAGTGAATGGGGAAGTGTTTCAAGATTCCCACTTTTCCTCTTTCCAAGATCTTGTTCTGCTCCTTTGATCACTTTCAATAACGAAGCTCGGTTGAGACTCCAAAACACTCTAATTCCCAAGTCTCTTCTTTCCTGCCGGAGAACCGAAAGAGGAAGTGAAAAAAGGCAGAACCTCCCACTTGCTTCATTCTATAATTTATGTATATTAACCCTTTTTCACCTCAGATCGCTTTAGGGCATTGAATTTCTCAGGGAATACAATGTTAGGGAAAGTTCTGCTTTTCAGGTTTCCTTTGCAGATATATTTTGGGAAGGAGATTTAATTGATCTTGCTTAACATATGGATATTTATGGAGAGCAACCAAGCTTGGTGCCATTACAGTATCTGTGCTGGGTATGATAGAGGACTCTCTAAACTGAGCTGTTTTAATTCTCAGTAAGAATGCTTGATTGTGTGTCTGTGTGCATGGATGCCTTCAATTACTTGGATAGTGATATACTATCTAATACATATACTAATACCACTCTATAAAGCCTTAGTAAGGCCACACCTATAATACTGCATCCAGGTTTGGTCACACACTATAAAAAAGATGTTGAGATTCTAGAAAGTGTGCAACCAGGATGATTAGGGGACTGGAGACTAAAACATACAATGAACGGTTGCAGGAACTGGACATGGCTAGTCTAGTAAAGAGAAGGACCAGGGGAGACATGATAGCTGTCTTCCAATATTTGAGGGGCTGTCACAGGGAAGAAGGGGTCAAGCTATTTTCTAAAGCACCCGAAGGCCAGACAAGGAATAATGGATGGAAACTGAACAAGGAGAGATTTAACCTGGAAATAAGGAGAAAGTTTCTGACAGAACAATCAACCAATGGAACAGAAGTTGCCCTCAGAAGTTGTGGGAGCATCATCACTGGAGGCTTTCAAGAAGGGATTGGACTGCCATTTGTCAGAAATGTGTAGGGTCTCCTGCTTGGGCAGGGGGTTGGGCTAGATGACCTACAAGATCCCTTCCATCTCTGTTAATCTAATCCTTTATTTTACTGGGTTTACTTCAACCTTCAATAATTCAATCACTATAGAATTTGCAGATTACATTTACCTTATCCTGATTCAAGGAACTTTCTTTGCAGTATGTGGAAATGTTCTACATACAATATGTCTTGATTTCATAAAAAAAAAACATTTGCCAAAATATCACACAGCAAGTGTGTGCTTAATAGAATAGCAAATTAAGCTCCTATATTACAAACAAACCTGTTCATCAGCCAAATTTATTCAGTGATTTAATTCAATTTGGATGTGCCCTGACTTAAAATGACCCTGGCTTCCAACAACAACAAAAGGCATAAAAATAGCAAAACATAGAAAACCAACCAAGTATAAATAAAAATATATAACTACAAAATAATCACAAAGTGGCATTCCAATAACAAAGCATTTTGCTGATCCTTTCCTAGCACCAACCATTGACTGACTAGAGGTAGCAATAATAAGCTCATCTGTGCTTAAACAGAACAACAGAGTTGGAAGGGACATTGGAGGTCTTCTAGTCCAACCCCTGCTCAAGCAGGAAACCCTACACCATTTCAGACAAACGGTTGTCCAATCTCTTCTTAATAACGTTCAGTGTTTGGAGCATTCACACCTTCTGGAGGGAAGTTGTTCCACTAATTAAATGTTCTGACTGTCAGGAAATTCCTTAGTTCTAGGTTGCTTCTCTCCTTGATTAGTTTCCACCTATTGCTTCTTGTCCTGCCTTCAAATGAGTTGGAGAATAGCCTGACTCTCTTCTTTGTGGCAGCCCCTGAGATACTGGAAGACTGCTAGCATGTCTCCCTTAGTCCTTCTTTTCATGAAACTAGACATACCCAATTCCTGCAACCATTCCTTATATGTTTTAGCCACCAGTCCCCTAATCATCTTGTTGCTCTTCTCTGTACATAAATAAACTCAATGAAAATAAACTCAAAGAATGCTCTTGATTATTTGCTCTTGACAGCCTCACTAGCATGATGGTCATAAGTGTGAAAATTGGTCTTAGGTCACTTTTTTCCAATGATGTAACTTCGAATAATCACTAAATGAACAATTGTAAATTTAAGGACTACCTGATTACAAGACGTTGCCAGTTCATCCCTGATAAAAATACTCAATATCAGAACAATACAAATAATCTATTTTATCAATTTGTTGATAAATCTGTAATCTATCACAATTGACCCATTCTGCAACATTTTAACCTCTATCAGTCTCAAATTTACTCTAGGAAATAGTCAAAGCATCTTTGTTTTAAAAATGATTATTATATTTAGAAAGATCAAACATCCCTTTTGTTTGTGTTTTGCTGAATTAATCCATTGGGAACCAAGCTACTGAAATAATAACCAAGAATCCTATAATGGTCTGGATCTCAAAGGGATTGACACAAACTCCACAGAAAACCTCTGTATATTTCATTATTTTATTGATTATTAAAACTTTATCAAGCCAGATAAAGATACTGTTGTGAGGAAAATAGGAGGAGAAAAATGTGTTGGATATGTTCACCGCCTTGAGTTATTTGTAAAAATGATAAATGCAGACTACAAATTAAATAGATGATAGATAGATATTTATTTTATTTACTTATTTTGTTTGTCAAGCATGTATGAGAAAACAAGTATAAGTATGAACATAACATATAAACATATAAGTATAAACGGTTATAAGTATATACATATTAAATGAGTATGAAAAAATGGGAACAGTAGGACAGGGACGGTAGGCAAGTTGGCGTGCTTATGCACGCCCACTTACAGACCTCTTAGGAATGGAGTGAGGTCCACAGTAGACAGTTTAAGGTTAAAGTTTTGGGGGTTTGAGGATTTAACAACAGAGTCAGGTAGTGAGTTCCAGGCATTGACCACTCTGCTGCTGAAGTCATGTTTTCTGCAATCGAATTTGGAGCGGTTTACTTTGAGTTTGTATCTATTGTTTGCCCATGTATTAATAGATGATAGATGATGGATGGTGGATAGAGAGAGAGAGAGAGAAAGAGAGAGGGAGGGAGGGAGCTGGTAGATGGATAGATAACCATTGCCTTCCACTAGGATTGTCTTTTAATAATCACTGTCTCTATATGAATGCTAGAAGGCTTGGATATATTAATTTTTCTTGTTTTTGATAGTGGACGTAGACAGAGAGTGTTGGCTATTCATTATTGAAACCTCTGATGAAATGTTCAAATAATGGTCTTTCTTGGTTGACTTTTTGAGATACCCAATAGGCCAAGCTGAGGAGGAACAAAGCACGAACAATTCATCAGAAATGACCAAAGGTGGTAGAGCAATTGCATCACAATAATGATCTCATACCAATTTTCTTTGAACAGAGATTTTGAGGAGAAAGAAAATCCAAGAAAATTTTGTAGAATTCCTTAGGGATGTATATTTGTTTATGAATTATAAATAACTATAAATAATTACAACCCATCTTCAGAGAGTATATTATTCTTCCATGAGAATATTAGATACTTTTATTGTTAATTAGCTACTGAGCTCTTGCCACAACAGCTCTTTAATTTTTTTAAACTAAGATACCTTTTGTAATAGTTTATGTAGGCTCTTCCAGGAATTGGAATATGGCCACCCCTCCATACCCAGTCACACTTGGGTGATTACCTTATTCTTGGTGGCATGCTTGGCGATTTCTGCTGCTGTCAAAGGGGGCAGGAGGTCATCTATCAAGAGGACTGAAGTTGCTGGGTCTGGGTCTTCTACTGTGGTTATTAGTGGGCATTGGCTAAGGACATCAGTGTGGCTCAGGTTTTTCCTCGTCGATGTGTGAGATTATAGTTGTATGCTGCTAGGAAAATTCCATCGTGTCATGCAAGGGGACAATACTTGCAGTGTTTGGCGGTTCTCGGCGAGCAGGCCTAGCAGTGGCTTATGGTTCATCACGTTCAAAATGGCAGCCGTACAGGTACTCATGGAATCATTTAACTCCAGCAACTGAAGCCAACACTTCTTTTGTCAATTTGACTATAATTTCTTTCAGCCGATGAAAGAGTTATTGAAAAGAAAGCAATTGGCGCTTCTTTTCCGCTTGGAAGTTTGTGACTTAGGACTGCTTCTATGCCGAATGGAGATGCACTGCAGGCAAGAACCAAGGGGAGGTTCTCACTGTATTGTATGAGGGTGCTGTCTAATGTTAATAGAGTTTTGACAGCCCTGAATGCAGCAGCTTCTTTTTGGCCCCAGGACCATGGCATCTTTTTATCTAGTAGCTGATGAAGAGGTTCAGCTACGAATGCTTTATGTGGTAAAAATATACTGTAAAAGTTTACTGGTTAATTGATTCACCCTCTGCTTGATTCCAGTGATGAAATGTCTGTCGGCGGGCGATTCATAATAGCTTGGCTGCACAGTGATTCCTCAGTGTATGTTGTAGTGACATTAACTGGACAGTCTGAGGGGGTAGGACAGCTCTCATTGTCTTGAATATGTTAGGCCTACAGAAGCTCAGGAAATAAGCCTTCTTGTGGTTGCTCAAGATTCCAGCGAAGTCATTTGCTTCAAGGAAGCACTTGAAACAAGTGATGTATGAGTCCCGTGTTTCAGAGGCTGGATTGTATGAGGCAAAAGTAGTGTGGCCATCTTTCCACTACACCATAGAAAAGCCAGCAATTTGGGCAGAGTTGTCTATGGTTGATGGTGTGGCACAAACAGTATTGTGCTGTCTGTGACTTCAGCTCTGGTGGTTAGCGATCAGCTCATTTTTTCTTAGTGACTTCAGTGCTGAATTAGTGACCCGCTCTTTGTCGCCTCAGTTTTCTAATATCCCACCTTCATTGCCACCATTGAGTTGGAGGGTGGAAGAATGGAGATGAAGCAAAGTAACATTTAGCTAACATTTATTAGTTCTAACAGCTCAGCTAACAGTGACAGCTTGCTAACAAAACCAGCTGACTCTGTCTGACAGTGCTCCTTTTATAGTCAGCTGTCAGATGGGCAGCCAATCAGGGTGAATGTCTCTTTCCACTTAAACAGCCGACCTGAGTGAAGCCTTAGTACACAACAAAATTATTATTTAGTGTATGGCAAATATATGGACCAACAGTAGTTT